GTCTTAATGAGATCAATTTCAGTGAAATGATGTGGGCCGAGTCAGATGGCCTTTTTTGTCCTGCACACAGGCTGTTCAGGCTGATTTGGGCTATGTAGTTCAGGATGGCCTTGAACTCACAGTGATCTTTCTGCCTCTCTCTCTCCAGTGTTGAAGCTGTAGGCTTGCACCACCATGCCCAGTTGAAGAGTTTTTTGTTTTGTGTGTTTTTTTTTTTTAATTTTTAAAAAGTCTTTTATTTATTTGGTACCAGGCCTCACTACACAGCAGCTCTGCCTCATAGTGATCCTCGTGTCTCAGCCTCCCCAGGTCTGGGATCCCACGCATGCATCACCATGCCCAGTTTTGGTGATTGGCACAGGTACCTGGGGTACCAGAGCCAGCACAGCATTTGGCACCCGGGATCAAACCTGGGCCCTTGAGCTTGCAAGGCAGGCGCTTAGACCACCGAGCTATCTCCCCAGCCCTTGTGTTGTTGTTGTTTTTTTCATTTTAGCAGTTTTATTTAAAAATTGCACAGATGAGGACTTCATTCCTGCACCTTCTCAGTCATTTTTCCTTGTATTTGCCCTTTTCCTTTCCTACTTGGCAAGACCCAGCTTTCCGTTCCAGGATCTTTTTGTGGTCTTTGTCTAGTTTTAGCTGGTGCTAACCACTGACTGGGGTGAATGCTCTTGTGGACAGTTGTGCCATCTGCCTGTGCCTGCTGCACCCATTCAGTGTAGATGGCATACTTCTTCCTGTAAACCTGGACTACTTTGCACAGCCTGAACTTCATCATCCTTTCAGATGGGCGTACAGCGAACATTGCATTTCTGTCTCAGCTCTTCGGAAAGAGAAGATGTAATTTTCCTGCAAATGAAGGAAGGTCCATTGAAATGTCTTTTATGGTTTTTGCTTCGGTCTGAAGTCATGAAAGGATTAAACTTCATTTTGGCCACCACAACTCCAGCGATGGCTGTGAGAGAGAAGAGGCTACACATTGCTGGGGTTCTGTTGTTTTGCTTTTTATTTGATTGCTATGCTAGGGATTGAGCCCAGG